CAGGGCCAGCCCCGACGCGGCCAGCTCGGGCTGGGAAGGCTGCGGGCCCCCGACGGCCGCCGCGGCCGCCGCCGCCGCCATGATGAGAGCTCAGAATTTGGAGAGTCCAGGGCCGGCGGCTCCTGCCGGGAGGGTGGGAGAATTGACTGCTGCGACGGCTCGGCCCGCTCAACTCTCGCGATACCCTGGAGCTGCCGCGCGCGGCCGCCTGCGCCCCGCCCCTGCACACGCCCCCTAGCGTGGTGGCGCCTTGTCCCCGCCCCTCTCGCCTGGGATCCTCTCCTGCCGTTTCCCGCTCCTCCCTTCTCTCGGTTCTCAACTTCCAAAGTTGAGCTACTAACAAAACACACTTGCCTTAATGAAGATACTCAATAAGGTCAAATTTTTCTTTGTTTGCATAGACTACAGGAATTATGCCCAATATCTTTCACATGTAATTTTAGGCATCTGCCTATCGTTTTGAGATGTAGATTCCCAGTGTTATCAAAGTCTGAATTATTATGAATTATTACTCTTACTGGAGCAGCCTTCTCATTTTCCCCCGAATCAATTCTTACCCTCACACTATAACAAAGATAATCTTCTCAACTACACTCTTTAGAAGACTAAAGTACATTCTTACTGTCATCCTCCTGTTCAAAATTTTTAGTGGAAACAAAAACCAAACTTCGTTACTCCTTTCTCAAAATCCACCGTCTTTTTTCAATTTCACATTGAAAAAAAAAAAAACACCATCATCACAAGTATCCCAACCTTATCTTACATTTTTCTTATATTCTTATCATTATCTCCTGGTAATACTCCAAGTTTGCCGCGTTAAAGAGACCAACAGGTCTGTTTTCCTTTTTTTCTTCTTCTTCTTTTTTTTCTTTTTTGAGTTGGAGTCTCACCCCAACGCCCAGGCTGGAGTCGCTCAGGGCCACCCCAGTATCGACCCACTGGCACCGCGATCCTTACAAGTAGCTGGAATTACAGGATGCGCCACCGAGCCCGGCTAATTTTTAATTTATTGTAGAGACGAGGTCTCACCAAGTTGTCCAGGCTAGTCTTGAACCTGCAGGCTCAGGCAATTCACTTGCCTCGGCCTCCCAAAGTGCTGGGATTACGGGCTGAGCCACCGAGCCCCACCCAGGCCTGTTTTCTTAAGGTGTTGTATTAGGCCCTGACTCTGAGTCTTTATTGTTCCTAGTTCCCACTCTACTCCAATCCACACATTCACCCCACACCCCAATTTTAGCAATGTCTGCTCATACCATTTACTTTCTTTTTTTAAAAAAGCTCTGAACTTGATATAACTGCCTTGAGTTGTAAAAACCTCATCCTAACCACACCACTAATTGTAAATGTATTGAAGACAAAGAATGAGTCTTCATCATTGCCCGTGAATACTCAAATATCTGTCTGATTATTGTTATTAAATGGAACATAATTACAATACATGACACTTCTTGAATATATAGTATGTACCAGCTCTTCATGTTATTAATTTTAATCCTCTCAATAGTCCTATGAAGTGGGTACTATTAGAGGAAGCTAAAACTTAAGGGGTGATTTTTTTTCCCCCAAAAAACACACAGCAAGCAATTAAACAAGCTGTGACTAGAAACCAGGTTCCCCTGACTTCAAAGCTCCTTCTGCTATATTAGTGTTTCTCAAATTTCCTTGATCCTAAGAATCACCTGAAGCTCTACTTACAAAAACAGATTTCCAGGCCCCATCTCAGATCTAAGAAATCAAAATCTCCAGAGGCTAAAACATAAATCTTGAAAGAGATTATCAAAGATCCTTCAAGGACTGAAAATCTGCAGCTTAAGTTTCCATAGCTTATATCAGAGAGCTGGATGTGTTGTATAACAACATGTAACACATAAGTTACATGTTGTACGACACATGTAATTTAGTAACACATAACAGCAACACATGATCAAGAATTGTGTGTGTGTGTGTGTGTGTGTGTGTGTGTGTGTGTGTGTGAGAGAGAGAGTCGGAGTCTCACTCTGTGACCCAGGCTGTTGTGCAGTGGCACGCTGCTCATGGTCACCACAGCCTCGGCCTGCTGGGCTCAGACAGTCCTTCTGCCTCAGCCTTCCAAGTAGCTGGAACCACAGGCGTGGGCCACCACACCCAGCTAATGTTTTGATTTATTGTAGAAACGAGCTCTCGCCATGTTGCCCAGGCTGGTGTTGAGCTCGCCGGCTCAGGCAATCCTCTTGCCTCGACCTTCCAAAGTGCTGGGATGACAGGCGTGAATCACTGCACCTGGCATGATCAAGAATTTTTAAAACTGTAAAAGGAGCAACCCAAAGAAAGAGAACAAGAGTGTTTCCAACACATCACCTAGTATTAGAAATGAATTAAACATAATTAAAACATGTTACTTTATAGTCCTGTTCTTCCACATTAGTTATTTCACAAGCATCATTTAACAATAAGTAAGTTAAAGTTTGCTCAATAATTCCCTTTATGAGTCACTAAATTATAAACCAAATAAAATGCAGGAACATCTTCAAACCATGGGAGAGCTAGTGTGTTTTTCCTACTTAGTGTCCATAGGTTGAGGTAGTTGGGGAACCATGCTGGTTTCTCTCCAGAATTGCTTTCCTATGAAAAACAGTAACACCTCTGTCTTTTCAGCATTCCATGGTGATCTTCATACACTCACAGATTTCTACAATATTCCATCACTTGTCAACAGTGTCTCCTTAGCTCTGTAATAACAACAAAAAAAGTTAAGTGCCATCTCTTTTTTTCAGTTGCATGGACATTGCAGTACATGTACAGAAATCTAGACATTTGCCAGATTTCCTGTCTATGCCGTTCATGACAATATAAGACCTGTGCAAAAACAGAGAACCATTAAAAATAACCAGTAATAACAAGAACACAAATAACCTGATTTTAAAATGGGCAAAAAATATGAATAGATATTTACCAAAACACATGTATAAATGGGACCAATAAACATATGAAAAGATGTTTAATGAACTGCTCATTAAATTATTGCAAATTAAAATAACTCGAGACACTACTATACACACCCATTAGAATGGCAATAAACAAAAAGACAGACAATAACAAATGTTGGAGAGGATATCGCAAAACAAGAACCCTCATATGAGGAGAAATCCAAATTTGTTTATAAAAATTTATGCATTTATTCTTACATGTTTAAACTTCAGACCAGGCTCGGTGGCTCATGTCTGTAATCCCAGCATTTTGAGAGGCTGAGGCAAGAGGATTGCTTGAGCACAGGGGTTCAATACCAACCTGGGCAACTTGGTGAGACTTTGTGTATAGGGTAAATTTTTAAAAAATAGCTGGGTGTGGTGGCAGGCACCTGTACTTCTAGTTACTTGGAAAACTGAGGCAGAAGGATCACCTGAGCCCAGCAGGTCGAGGGTGCAGTGGACAACAGAGTGAGACTTTGATTCAAAAATATAAAAATAAGTAAATAATTTTTAAAAAATAAACTTAAGTCACCTTCAAAGTACTCTTCATTTGATGCAGTACACCTGTGGAGAGGCTTTTTCCATTGCTCAAAACAGTTTTTCAATTCATCAATTTTGATGACTTTTAAAAGTGCTTCTGCCATTTTTTTGTTTCACCTCTTCCACGTCGGCAAAATGCTTCTTTTGAGGACATTTTTCTTAGTAAGGGGGTGTCACTCAGGGTGAAATTGGGTGAATAGGCAGAGTGGGAAACTGGGGTCATGCCGGTTTTGGTCAAAACATGCCATTTTGGTCAAAACTTCAGTGCAGTGTGAGCAGGTGCATTGTCATGGTGGAAGAACCAGTCACCTGTTTGCCACAAATCAGGATGTTTCTTCTGCAAGTCATAATGCAACTTTCTCAAAACTTCCAGATAAAAATCTCGGAGGAACAAATTCTGAATGTCCTACAAGGGGCCTGACCTCCAAAAGATAATTCCAGGAGTTTTTTGGGGGGTCCCCCTTAGATGATCTTCTTTTCAGCTTAAGCTGGTTCAATTGTGTTTTTGTCTCTTGTAACCAAAAGAGTACTGATAAATAGAAAAGCAACTTTGGAGTGATTACATTAATTTATAAGTTGTCTGTTAAGGGCCTTTATTTTAATTTTGGAAGAAATTATGTTATTGTCAAAGTTTTTGTCTTTCTTTGTGGTTTCTTTTAATTTGAAAAGCCATCTTAGAAATATTATAAGATTCTGCCTCACGCTAATTAAGCTGAAATGCATAAAACATAGTTTTTAGATATTGTTTTGTAGATTCTGTAACAGCAGTGTGTTGCATTGCTATTTATTCAATGGCTTCAATAGAGTAACACTAGCATGCTGGAACATTGTAATCTTATAAAGTATAGCATTTACATGAGTGCAGAGTTTTCAGCTAAATTTCACTCTGACTTTTCTTCATGGAAATGTGATCATTGTAGGAATTGCCCATGAAACAGCACAGTGATTTGAAAGGTAGGTACTTTAGAAGAAGAGTTTTTCTATTACACTAATGCACTGAAAGGGGAAAATGTTAAACTTACAGGATCCAAACAATAGTAACCCCAGAATCCTGGGAGAAGCAGATTTGAGAACCTGTTGTATTGATTTTTGAAAGCTGAAGCAGTAAAATTGTTTTTTACTGCTAGGCAGAACTTGACTATTTCACTCGTTTCAACCATTGAGTAATATTACTGATTATGATTGTTACTAAAAGTTTAAGGTATAATTTTATCATTTTTTAGAGTAGAATTCAATGATTTTTAGTAAATTTACATAGTTGTGCAACCATCACCACAATCCAAATTTAGGGCATGTTCATCATCCTAAAAAGATCCCTCATGCCCTTTTGCAGTT